CTGTGAGCTGTAATGCCATGGCACTCTACCCAGGGGGACAGCTTGAGGCTCTGTCTCAAAAAAAAAAAAAGAATGTATTTTTGATTCTTTTGGGGGGGGGCAGAGTCTCACTCTGATGGCCTAGATAGAGTACCATGGCATCATAGCTCACAAACTTCTGGGTTCAAGAGATCCTCTTGCCTCAGCCTCCAAAGCAGCTGGGACTTCAGGCACCCACCACAACACCCGCCTAAGTTTTCTATTTTTAGTAGAGATGGGATCTCACTCTTGCTCAGGCTGGTCTCAAACTCTTGAGCTGAAGCAATGTACCTGCCTCAGCCTCCCAGAGTGCTAGGATTACAGGAGTGAGCCACTTCACCTAGCCTTATTTTTATAAACATCAGGAGCTTTTCAGTTAGAACACTTTCAACTTATCCTTTCAATTCCCATCCCCAAACAAGGTTTCTATTCCTTAGACAGTCCCCTGTGAGCCTCATTATTTCCCCACCTCTTGGCCACCATTTTCTTTTTCTTTTTTTTTTTTTAAACAGCTTTTCTTCAACAACCCTCCAGTTCCTCCTTCTTTAAAGTCCTCCCTTTTCATGCCCTAATACTTTACTTCTCAGACCTCTAACCTATTAACAAAGAAGCCCCAAGTAGCCATTTAGCCCCAGGGGCTTGGTGGCTCACACCTGTAATCCTAGCACTCTGGGAGGCCTAGATGGGTGCGTTGCCTGAGCTCACAGGTTCAAGACCAGCCTGAGCTACAGTGAGAAAAAAATAGCTCGGCATGTCCAGCATGTGTAATCCCAGCTACTTGGGAGGCTGAGGCAAGAGAATCACTTGAGCCTCAAAATTTGAGGTTGCTGTGAGCTGTGACAACACAGCACTCTACAGAGAGTGACAAAGTGAGACTGTCTAAAAAAAAGCCATTTATACAAAAATTTTATAATTTTGCAAATGTTTGCAGAGCCATTAACACTTTATCCTTATACTAACCCAATTAGATACACAGGCTAATGTTATATCTTGATTTTACAGTTAAGATCAAAGATACATAGCTAAAATATAGCATAAGCCCAGCCTAGAACTCAAATTTTTAGATTCCAAGTTCAGTACTCTACTCAACTTACAAAGCTACCATTCTTTGCATATTCTTTCTTTATATTATTTGCTCATTAATCATGGAGAAAACCACGTTTGTATCTCTTAATATCACTAGATCACTGTTACAAGGGCAGCTTCCTTCCTACAATATTTTTTTAGTACCAGTATATAAACAGTTCAAGACACTGAGACCAAAAATTACTTTCAATACTTCCTGCACAATCTTCAAGTAAGAAAGAATTGTGGGATGTTGCATGAAAAAGGCCAAGAAGCCTGGGTCACAGTACCTCCCTGGCGCCCTACACAGTTCTCCCCTTCATCCAGTATTTGCCCTCTTTCCTCCTCCAAAGAGTGTTTTCCACGGGCTGACATCTCAACGAGGACCCTTCTCAAACACATACGAACCTAGTCGCCAAATAAACTCATGTCCACAGCTAAGTCTTCCTCCCCAAAACGGCAGAGACTACTTGGGACATTTACTAGTGTCCATCCTCTGTCCACACCCCTTGTCTGAAAAACTTCTTTTAGAGCCCGCACCTTCTCGGCTCCCACACCCCCACCCCCACTCCACGCTCACCCTTGCACCTCCTCCCAAAGCTCCCAGCCTCCCGGGTTGGCGGGCGACACTTCCTATCTCTCCAGGCCCGGATCGCCCAGACTGCAGCCCGCCACCCCGACCTGGCTATGGCAGATCGCGGCCCCCTTCGCTATCCCCAAGCCCGAGGCCCATCAGCCCGGTCCCTGCCCCGCCTCCCCGCCCAAGGCGCCAAGTCCTGGGGCTCCGTGTCCAGGGCCGGGTCGGACTCCGAGGGCCCCGGACGCTGCGGGGAGGACAGGAAGGGGGTTGCAGTAGCGGACGGGGTACTACGCGGGTCTGGCGCTTGGGTCGGGAGGCTCCGGGCCCGAGCTGATGCCGGCTCCCGCGGCTCCGACTCTGCCCTCCCGCTCCGCCGGCCCGCGCCTCCGCGGCCTTGCCCTCACCTGATCCAGGTTCTCGTCGCTGCCGCTGTCCTCCGTGTCCGAGTCGATCACCACGCGGCCTTTCCGCTTCTTTACCATGGTGGTCCCCCGGCTCCCACGCCGGACACCGCCCGGACTCGCCTATTGCCCGCCTGCCAGTGGGACCGCCACTGCCGCCGCCACCGCCGCCGCTCGACCCACACAAAGGCGACCGCGCATGCGCGCTCCGCTCCGCCCCTGGCCCCGCCCCCTCTCCGCGCACGCCGTTCGCCGGCGCCCGGCGCACTGCCCTGTCCCACCCCCGACGCAGCGTGGCAGGTGGGGCCGCGCATCCACTTGGGTTCCGGGCAGAGGCCGGGGTGGTTTGTGAGATTCTCTCTGCCCCTGGGATCTGTCTGTGTCCCTGCTGCGAAGCCGAAGTTCAGTGAGCTTCCAACCTGTCGAGGGCTGGAGCTGCAAAATCCAGGTCCTCTCTGATGGGGCTCACCTGTCTCCTTTCAACTATCTTACACTGATGGAGCGTGGAGGGCGACCTCAGGGGCTGCCCGCCGTTGGAAACTAGCTGCAATGAAACAGACCCTATCGCTCGGAGCCAGCCGAGCGCACCGTTTGAAGGATGAAACGTGCATACCAAGGCTGTGCAACTGACAGCTGAGCTGGGACTCAGACAGTGCATATGAGTTATCTTTAAAAAGAGTGGAGGAAAGGGTATCTGAAGTAGAGCACAGCGTGGGCAATGGCTTACAGATAATAGCGAAAGTCGGGTTTAGGCAACTGAAAGTTCATTGTTGCCAAAGCAGAGCGTGTTGTGTGTTGGGGGGGGACAGGGTGACAGATGAGGCTGGAGGAGCGCGGCAGCCACACCATTCAGAACCTGATAATAGCTAATTTAGGTAGTTTGATCTTTAGCATTGAAAGATTTTAAACTGAAGAGTGACATGATTAGATCTGTTTTTATTTTTATTTATTTCTTTTTTTGAGACAGAGCCTCAAGCTGACGCCCTGGGTAGAGTGCTGTGGCGTCACAGCTCACAGCAACCTCCAACCCCTGGGCTTAAGCGATTCTCTTGCCACTTCCTCTCAAGCAGCTGGGACTACAGGCGCCCGCCACAACGCCCGGCTACTTTTTTGGTTGCAGCCGTCATTGTCATTTGGCGGGCCAGGGCTGGATTCGAACCTGCCAGCTCAGGTGTATGTGGCTGGTGCCTTAGCCGCTTGAGCCACAGGTGCCGAGCCTAGATCTGTTTTAAAAAGAATACTCTGTGCAATGTGGCGAATGCATTAAAAGGAAGTTAAACTAAGGTGACTAGGCATGGTGGCTCACACCTCTAACCCCAGCACTCTGGGAAACCGAGGCAGGAGGATCGCTTCAGTTGGAAACCAACATGAGCAAGAAGGAGACCTCATCTCTACTGAAAATAGGAAAATTAGCTGTGTGCTGTGGCAGATGCCTTGTGGTCCCAGCTACTGGGAAGGCAAAGGCTGAGTCAGGAAGGTCGCTTGAACCCAGGAGTTTGAGGTTTTGAGGTTGTGACCTACGCTGACACCACGACACTCTACCCAGGGCCACAGAGTGAGACCCTGTCTCAAAACACACACACACACAAGAAGAGGAAGAAAGACTAAGGGCAGGGAGACCACTTGGGGGTATTGGTGACCTTTTGGCAGCAGACAATGGTGCCCTGACTAAGGAAGCAGCAGTAGGAAAATGGAGAGAAGCGGTGGATTCTAGATAACTTGGAAGATAGAATTCCCAGGATTTGGAGATGGGAGGAGGGGCAAGGGAAGGAGAGGTTCCAGACGCTGATGATGTTCATATTCCGGTTTAGGAAAACTGGTAACAAGTGGGGCCTTGCTACTGTAATCCTAGCACATTGGGAGGCTGAGATGCATGGATTGCCTGAGCTCAGGCTTGGAGACCAGCCTGAGCAACAAGTGAAACTTCATCTCTGCTAAAAGAAAAACTAGCTGGTTGGGGTGGCGCCTGTGGCTCTAAAGAGTAGGGCGCTGGCCGCGTATGCCAGAGGTGGTGGGTTCAAACCCAGCCCTGGCCAAACAGCAAAAAAAAAAAAAAAAAACTAGCTGGGCATTGTGATGGGTGCCTGTAGTCCTAGCTACTTGAGAGCCTGAGGCAAGAGAATCTCTTGCGCCTAAGAGTTTGAGGTTGCGGCTCGGCGCCTATAGCTCAACCGGCTAAGGCGCCAGCCACGTACACCTAAGGTGGCGGGTTCGAATCCCCAGCCCG